CAGTCCAGCGTTAATTCCAAAAATAATAATTTTCTTTTTCATTTATATTAAAAACCAGGGAGTGCCAGATGCCCTCAGGCAGTCTCGCCCAGGAAACACCAAGGTATAACCTCAAAATTGATCTGCTTTTACACTTTTCAAAAGCCAAAAAAATTGTGTAAATAATCATTCACAAAATTTTGAGTATTCATGTTTTCCATGGCGCGTTTTAGCATATCAGAAACACGCACACCCTTCCTATTCTATAGTATCCATGCCATTTAAAATATTTTCTATGAATGACACTATTCCATCCATGTATTCTGTTTCCTTGATCCTTTTTTCTTGTAGAAAGCGCTTGACTTGGTTTACTCATTTCTCAATGTAAATAATCGTAGCGAAGGAGCCTTTTGGTGCTCAAAAATAAGTGCATATACACCAAGTGCATGAATTTGATTGGGCGAAATGCTTATTTCGAGATCAATGTTACCCAGATCCCCCGCCTTAATATTTAACCATCTCTAGCCATCTTTTGTCATCGACAACTGTACCCGTTGTATTCATAAGAAAATCGCCATTAAATCCACTCTTTATCACTTCATGGTCTCTATCACTCAGCTGCTTCCTTTGTCATACTCCCATTAATAAAGAATACTGTAATTTCGTCTACTTGTGCTTTACCTTGCCTCGATTCTGAATTTCAGCTCTTTTTTCATTTTCTTCCCTCATTACGATAAACAGAGGTCCTTTAAATAAAAACAGTAACCCCGCCAGAACTTCTTTTGAATCACCTGGTAGTTATGGTAAGTTAAAATTTATGTAACAACACAAAGACAAAATTATTGAAAAACGTTAGTCAGCAAGTACTTTAGCATGAAGGGGGAATGTCGACTTATTTTTAGGGTTTAACTTTGTAAAGAATTGAAGATCATCAGCGAAACTAACATCAGCAACTATAACACCGGCATCGCTAGTCACTTGGGAAACGAGAACGAGTGTAGATACCAGGAAAAGTAATACATGACAAAAGAAATACTGTAGAACTTTGTCTTCTGTTAATGGGAGAGTGGAAGTTTTTTTTTTCTCTCTTTTTTTTTTTTTTTTTTTTTTTGTTTTTTTTTTCGCCACAAACCGTCATAGTTGTCTTTGGTAACTCTGAGCTGCGTATCACTCTATAGCTTTATCGCGATATTATTTATAGTAAAACTTTTCCATCTGAATATTATTGAGATTTAGTCATCAAATAGACCTTTACACTCTCTCTAATCATGCTGAGTGTAAGAATTTAGTCTTTGACAACCGAGTTCTTTTTCATGCGAAATTATTCTTGCCAATAACCTTTTTAAACCCCGATTACCCTATAAATATTTTGACTTTTTACCTTTTTTTTACTTTTCTTTTCTTTCGCTTTTCTATTTATTTACTTTCTATCGAATCAAGTAACACAAAATACATGACTGATGTAACTAAATCCTGTTTTATGAAAAAAAAATGCGTGTCACTAATGGAATCCAATAGAGAAACTCCAACAAGCGAAAGCGATTGACAAGCGCTATTCGATCGTATTTACCCTCCTGGTATGAACCAGTTGATCAGGAGAATAACGAAGGTAAAAAAAGAAAGAAACACTTCCTTCCTTCAGAAAAAAAACTTACCACTTGCATACTTTGTTTAGCAGACACAATCCATCAGTTACAACTAAAGGTGGAAAAACTTGAAACTGAGAAACGCGATCTTAGTCAACAAGTCGAGCGATCAACAATCGCACATGATCTGTCAATCAAAAACAGCTCAGAAAAAATCGCAAAGCTCACTAGTGAGCGAAACGTAAGTTATATCATCGATAGCACCTTGACAGATAAAAGTAACATAAATTATAGAATTACAAAGCACTGGCTGACCTACATCAAAATAACGCAGCCGTGTCAACCCGAGCTATGGCAGAAGTAGAAAAACGGTTTACTGATAATATGGTAACTTTTTTTTTTCAACGACATAACACCTTCATGAGACTCATAGAAAAACTTTTTTTTTTTTTTAAAAAAAAAAGGAAAAATTAAGGAGGGCATACATCGAAAAGAGGGAACTCGAAGATGAAATTTGCCAACTTAATTATAATCATAAAAATTATAAAGAGGAAAATAACCGTTGCGCAGCACAGCTTAGTGGGCTGTTTGGCTCCTACAAGGAATTGTGTGTCAAGCTTAAAAACGACGTAGTATTTAAAGAAACACATACTGGATTGAGATTGTTATTGACTTTATTCTATTGTATAGCTTCAGCTCCAGGAAGCAAACGTTAAAGAATCCACAGCAAGAGAACTTGCTTTAATAAAAAGAGTTTCGGAGTTGGAAAGTCAGGCTGCTCAAACGGCTACATGCACAACAAATGGTTTGGAAGACTCGCTTACAGCAGACTACACACGTAAACATCTTCCCATATACACAGTACCACTATTACTTCTATATGTAACCTAACAAACCTTCTTCCTTTAGATGTTTGTAATAAGTTAGCTGAAATCCAAACAGAATATAAAAAACTCGAGAAGGAATTACAGCACTTTAAAAGCCTAAATCAGAATATCGAATATTTGAAAGAAGAAAACAATTCGTTACAAGAAAGACTGAAAGGCTTATCAGACATCGAAAACCAGAAGCTGTCTGTGGATATTGACAATGCTAATCTTCGAGCAGAGAGAGACTCTTGGACACGTTACTTGAGCACCGTTCCCGAATTTACTGATCAAACACCCGGCACAATAGTCTACAACTTGACAAAGCAAGCAGACCAAGCAGACTATTTGCAGACAAAAGCGACATTCTTGGAAAAAGAATTGCTCGATAAAACAGAGCTTTTAAAATTGATGGAGAACCACGTTCGTGATGTCAAAGTTGCAATTTTAAAGAAAGATCGGGAAAACGTCTTGTTGTGTGAAGAAAACAAGTTAAACAGCGAGCGAGAGAGAATGCTTAAGGGACATATTGGTACCTTGACATCTCAGTTACGTCTCTATGATGAAGCAGAAGTAGCCGAGTCTGAAACGACTAATGATGAAATGAAGATGCTGCGTATTTCCCAGCTCGAAGAACTTTGTCGTAACGTCCAGAATAGATTCGTTGAAGAGGGTAAGCTTTACATCAAGGCTTTGTCAATGACTTTTTCTCCTCCAGTCGAAAACGGTCCTTATGAAAAGCTCACATCTGGCGCCAGAATCACTGAGTTCTTGGAAAACATTTACAATGATAAGGAGTCAGCTCTCGAAGGTATTTACAAATCAAATTTTATTTTATTATAGATGTATAAGTTAATTGGTATTATGATTAGCTTTCACGGAATTTAAGAATGAAGTTAAGCAGCATTTCTCACTTAATTCTCGTATGAATACTCGGGAAGATGAAATCCCCATCAAACAAGAACCACCTCCATCGCCTGTACAAGAATCGTACCCATTCGTGGCACCTATCATCACACAAGAGCAATCACCGTCACCGCCACCTTCACCCACACAGGATATACCCTCTGGTACGCATGTGCATTCATTCGAAGATAATTCAACTTCTCAGATGCTCGCAATCCATCAAAATCATTTGAACAGATTAAAAAAGGAAAACAAGGACTTAATACAATTACGATTGGACGAAAACCCCAATGTCGACCTTGTGGTCCTTCCCAAAACAAGCATCATCAATCTTTCTAAAGAGCTGGATAGATTTCAAGCCGAACGTGAAGTACTTTTAAAGCGTTTTGGTAGAGCACACACAGTCTGGAATGAAAACTTTGATTCTGCAGACGAACCGGGACAGATGGAGGTCGACAGAGTGACCGAATATAATGATGAAGAAGAAGGATATGAAGAGCCGGATCAACATTTGGTTAATTTGGGCTACAAAAGCGCTCGACATGTGGATACTATGGATGAGGATGAACTTCAAGCGTATGAGGAAGGCTCGTCCGGATCCATGTTGGACGACTTGAAGGATGATTCTGCTGCAGAAGACGAACTAGATTATTATGAATCAGGGGATAGAGAATCTAGCTACGACGCTGTTATTTGAAGTACGCATTATAATTTTAGCAGAAGGTGCACGAGACAACAAGTCTTGATAAAGAGTTTCTTAAGTTTTACTTTATATCCATTATTAATATACCGCCTATGTATTATCTCGCAATAAAAAATACTAGTTAAAAATGTGAATTAAGGACTGCAAAAGGGGCGGAAGAAAGATTAACGCCAAAAATAGAAAGGGAGTGCAAAAAGAAATGCTCCTGTAAACAAATCAAAAAAAAAAAAAAAAAAAAAAAAAAAAAAAAAAAAAGATCTTCACAGAGTATGTAAGAAAAGCAATTATCATACTTGTGCTGAATGTTTATTAAGAGAAAGAATGCTTGAATATTGAAAGAAGGCTTAAATATTTCAGATATTACATCCAGCACAAAAGCCCCATGAGAACGCGGAAAAAAAAGTACAAAGAAAAAAGAAAAATGGTGATGAACAATGTTGAGATGAGGAGTGTGACTGAAATGCGCACTTGCCACAATTGATTTATTACACCACTTTTTAAGGTTGCATGGATTGATATCTCTGCAACTCTACGTAAGAGTTTTGTGAGCATAGCAATGTCATGCACAAATCATACCGTTATGGTACCAATTCTGGGAGTTATTATTGACAATCCTCGTCCGATACAATTACAACACCATGTTACAGGCTTGTAGGCATATCATTTTGATGCTTGGAGATTCCATTGATAAAGAAGATGAAAATAAAATCAGCAAAAAACTTGATACAACAACAACAATGGGGATGTCCACGTGATCAAAGTTTCTTTCTGTCTATGTTTGCTTGTTACATGTACACACAGACATAAAAAGAATTTAATAAAAAGGGTCAAATATGTAAGAAAGGAGAGGGGTTTCTTTTTTTTTTTTTTTCATTTAAAAATAAAGTAATTACAATTCATTTCCCTTTTTCTTTTTCTTTTTCCCCATTTTATATCTCTCACTTTTTTTTTTTCGCCAAAATGATGTACACACCGCAAGCAAGACCTACATTCAATGTAATACAATAGCAGTCCAGTCAAGTTTAATATTTTACTCATTTCTTTAAACTACTAGGATTCATGTTTTGTGGATATCGACTTATCAGATGACATTAAACGACGCAACAACGAAGGTAAATAGCCATAAATTAAAGAAAAAACAGAGTTGATCGATATATAAATTCATCAAAGTTTGTTACTGACAGAATTCGATAAAGTGTCCGAACGTCCTTTGCAGGTCACTGTTGCTATGGATACCGAACCAGCCATGTCCATCTGGAAAGCAGCCGAACTGGGCAATATTGCTGTACTTTCGTATTTTATTCACCATTACCATGGGCAACAAGAGAAAGTAACTCAACTGTTAAACTCGCGTGATCCTACCACTGAATGCACTTTATTGTATTTAATTATCTCCAACAATCCAGATCCATTACAGTCATTAGAGCTCTTACTAGAATACGGTGCAGACGTAACATCACGCAATATTTATAATGTGCAAGCGATTCATGCATTGTTTCTTCGATGCACAGACCCTTTAGAACCACTGGCATTGTTAATAAAGTACGATGCCGATCCCAATGCACGTGATGGTGACGGTTGGACGCCTGTTCATTATGCAGCACGCTTTTGCGAGACACCCGACCCAATTCTAAAGTATTTAGTGAGCGTGGGAGCGGATATTAATGCTGTCGATGCCAGTAAAAAGACAGCTTTATTTGGACTATTGGCCAATGGTGATCACAGTATGACTTTGGACTGGTTAATTCATAGTGCCAAAGCATCAATCAAAGTGAAGGGTGATTTTTTGGACAATAAAACCAGACGTACCCGACAAGGATCACTTGTATTACAAGCAGCAAAATACGGTCGATTATCCTCATTGCGGATCCTGATCAGTTCGGCTTCAGCTATGGAGAGTTTAGAGTCGATATTAACAAGGGATGAATTAAAAGAAGCGATTGAATTAGTCAGGCTTCAATTAATCAAAGTCACCAAACGTGATTGTATAGAAAGATTAGGTTTAATGATTATGATTTTAGAAAATTTAATTCAAAAATTGTTTGAAACTTCAATTACACGGAGACCTAGTTTAATAAATAGAATTTGGAAATAAAAAAACAAGGGAAATCTCCTCTTTAAAAAAAGAGCTTGCATTATTTTTCTATTCATCACTATTTTTTTTTTTTTTTTTTTTCTATATTACAACACAAAAATGAACTACATGTACGATGAAGATCCTTTGCAATCTTTAGAATTAAAGACTCGCGCATTAACCCCACCTCTTGACTCCATTGACCATCCCACAACTTGCAACTACCTCCTCAATCTATTTCTAGCACCAGACATGGCTCGATACCTAAAAGAGACAAACATGTCCGACGACATTTATAACTTACCCATTCATTTCCAGAAAATCATTACCGAGGCCCGCATGGAGGCCAGTATGCTTAACAAGAGTAATGGTGCTTTAAAAAGACTCGAGAAACTAAGGGCTTATGTCGACACTGTGGCTCTTGGCGATACATCAGCTGTCATTGCCACATTAAATGAACTCTTGCGCGATGACGATGAAGTATTGAATATTCTGGGTGAATAAGCTCTTGTCTCTTTCTTCTTCTTTTTTTTTTCTTCTTTCTTTTTTCCCCCTTATATTGTATATGTGTAGTCTAGTATACTCGCAACATCTCCCTTTCTGCTACAACTGTCTAATAATATGCACGGCCTAAAAAAATAAATTGATAAAGTATCTGTCTACAGGAGTTTAACACATAGTTTATGTTTGATGAATTATTGTTAGATCATTGTGAGTGTAGGCTAAAACAAAAAGCAGATTAAAAGACTTCAGGTCAAGTGTGAGGAAATTGTCCAAATATGGGAGCAATTCCTCACATTTTCACCGGTCCCCCGGGGCATTTAACGCCGGTCAATCAAGCGCAAGGTCTCGGTGAGTCCGGCCTGGGACAATGAGTGGTAGTATTCATAACCAAAGTACCGCAATTATCTCTTTCTTCAACTATCAAAAACTTGTAATATAGAAACACAGAAACGTAAGTAGAACTACCTTACTTTGTTTTTAGGGTACTTGAATTGAAAATACTGATGGAATGCTCGGGATATCTGACGTATAGCGGTCAACAGAGTATGTCTTACTGATAAAACTGGCCTCAGCAAGTACCATTAAAGAAAAAGCACTCCTTACAGTATGAAATATATTGCAACAACAAGTCAATTTCTCTTGTTGTTTTGCTTTGGTGTTTATGAGACCCCACCTATACAGATATGTGCGTTTAAGAGGGTCTCGAATCAATACTTGTGTAAAATGCTTCATTTATCATTTAGATTTAAATGGTAAAAAAAAAAGAGTTAGTAAATGTAAGTTACATGCAAGATGTAAACAATTCAACATCTGTTACACACATAATACCACTCTGCAGGCAAAAGAAAAAAAGCTTCTGAATTACCTCTCGGTTGGTTCTTCTGACAAGTAAGCTGTATCTCTGTCTGCTACAGGACGTTGAGGCTTTAGCATCTCCAGAGTTTAATATTACAGTAAGCAGTAAATAAATATCTCCTTTTTTTTTTTATTATTATTAATCCTGGTTATATTTGCAACATGATGTTCCCAGGTATACTTTCACTGACTAATACTAGCTGATTTTGAATTAAATCACGAACCGAGATAACCATAATCTTCTTATCATTGTTCGCTTATTCCCATAGCCGTGACAGCAGTAACCGATGTAAGCAGAGTTTGATTTATTATCATCATTTGCCGGGACAAAGTATAATTTTCCACTATAGACTAATAAAATCCATCTTATTGTTTGAGAAGTGCACGGCGGTCTATTGTTTTTCCCCGCCTTTTTTCATATCATATAAAACATGTTTCACAATAAGGGTACCACAAAGTTAATGTTGTGCAAATAAAAGTCAATTCTGGGTAAACACTGGGTAAACAAAAGACATGCACAAATAAAGACTCAATAACGCTTTAAAGGGTATATAAAATATGACATTATACAACCCGAAGTGCATATGATTTTTTTTTAAGAAAAGACAAGATTTTAAGCGTGAGAAAAAGATTAGATGGTGTTTTGGGTGGGTAACAATGTTTTATTTCATACAGAAATGACATGTGAAATATAACGTTTTTTTACTCGGCGGTGTTACTGGAGAAAGCTGGTTCAGTTTCATCCATATCAAGACCCAACTGTTTATCAGTCCACATGGGAATAGGAGTGGTAGAGTTTTCAGTGCCAACACCAGCACATCCACCTTGAGCAGACCAATCTTGAACACGCTTAAAATCATAGCGGTTCCAAATCTTTTCCAATGAATGTACCAATTCCTCGATCATGGGACCATTGTGACCAGGCGTAGGGGTGATACGAAGACGTTCTTCACCAACAGGGACAGTAGGGTAATTAATGGATTGAACATAGATATTATGTTCGGACAAGAGTTCATCAGAAGCCAATTTAGCGGCAGCAGCATCTCCCATCAAGACAGGTACGATATGGGAAGGGTTAGGAATTACGGGAATACCAATGTCACCCAAACGTGATTTAACAGTACGTGTATTTGTCTGTTGCAAATGACGCTCAGCTGTAGATTCCTTAAGATACTTGACAGATTCCATAGCCCCGGAAACAATAGCAGGAGGTAAAGAAGTGGTGAAAATAAAACCAGGGGCATAGGAACGAATCATATCAACCAAAGAAGCCGAACCTGCAATGTAACCACCAACAACACCATAGGCTTTACCCAGGGTGCCAGTGACAATATCAATCTCATCAAGGATACTACCGTTACCACGATGAGGGTTTGTAGCATTTAAATCAAAATCGAGATGCTCTGCTACACCAGCTCCTCTTGGTCCGTACATACCTACTGCATGCACTTCATCCAGAAAGGTGATGGCTCCATACTGTTTAGCCAACTTGACAATTTCACGGATAGGTCCAATCGAACCACACATGGAATATACAGATTCAAATGCAATGATTTTAGGCACACTGGGATCCACTGACTGCAATAATTGCTCCAGATGAGCCATGTCATTATGACGGAAAATCTTTTTGGCTGCATTTGAGTGACGCATACCCTGGATCATGGAAGCATGGTTCAAGGCGTCTGAAAAGATGACACAACCTGGTAATTTAGAAGCCAAGGTTGAAAGTGTAGCATCGTTGGCTACATAGCAAGATGAAAATACAAGAGCTCCTTCTGTATGATGAAGATCGGCTAACTCGGATTCAAGACGCAAATGAAGATCTGCGTTACCAGCAATATTACGCGTACCACCCGCACCAGCACCATAACGATCCAACGTACGCCTATTACAGAGTGTATGTGTGTGAGAAAAAAAAATTTATAATAATAAACAATCGGAGACTTACTTCATATTATCAATCAAAACGGGGCTTCTACCCATCCCCAAATAATCATTGGCACACCAAACAGTGACTTCGTCTGTAACACGAGCAGTGTGAGCACGAGGAAACTTTTGGGCTAATCGATTAATATTGTTAAAATAACGATAGCTCTTGTCCTTATGCTTCTTTTCTAATTCTTCGCTATAAAAGCTTTCATAATCAAAAGCTTTTTGCTGAGCTGGGACGGCGTGACTGTGTACAACTAGATAGATGTAGGTATAAAACCTGTTTTTTTAGTACTTATCTTCATAGCATGTATATTTGCCACTTACCAGCAGGCTCCTCCTTGGGAGTCTCAACCGTGGTAGACATGGAGCGAGAAGAAATAGCTTGACTCATAACTGGACATTGTCTTGCTTTGCTCATGAGAGGACCCATGGTATTACCAGTGGTCAATCGACGCAAAGACGAAGCAGAAGCAACGTGAATAAAAGGGCAAGTCTTCTTTGCCTGCATCAATGCAATCTCCATAATATAATAGTCAAAAAAAGAGAAGGGGGTAGTGAAGGTTTCTTTTAAAATAATAAAGAAAAAGAAAAAAAGACAAAAAAATATGTGAGTTTTTTTTTTTTTTTTTATGCACACACTGTTTTGTATCGGAGCTTTAATCATATTTGACACAGGTTCATAACTCATCCTTGATCACCGTAGGAATTAGCGTGGAGACAGATTTCAATGTAGTACGGATGGGTTCGACTAGGATTGTAGTTGTTGTTGTTTGAGCAAGTTTACTTTTCTTTGTTTGTGTCAACCAAGATACCCAAGAAATGCCTACATCCCACGTCCGTTTCTTAATGATATAGAGTACAACACTACTAAATAGTACAAGACCAAATAAGAGTAGGAGTCGGTCAAACCAATCTGAGGCTTCAAGCTGAGTAATCACTCGTTTAGAAATCTGCACCAATGAACTCAGATTTTGATATTCACTATAGGTTGATGAGAGCGTTCTAGACGATTCGGCTAAACCTTATGTTAGTTTACCCTTTTTCCTTTGATTTTTTTTTTTTCACTTACAGAGCATGCTAGCTGAAAAGGTGCTCTTTTCTAATTCTTGTTGCATTAATGTACTTGTTCGTTTTAATGCCTCTGTCACATCTGAAGAAGCACGTAACACTGCATCATCTTGTTGACTAAATGATATTTTATAAATAAACCTTTCCTCTACTTTATCCATTGTTGGCCCTTACCCTCGATGTGCTACACGTTGCTTTAACTCGTATTGTTCAGTAAAACTCTTTCCGTTTTTTCTGCCTAACCCAAATAACTCTTCGCGATTCTTCTTTTCCTGATCATCCACACGTTTCTTGGATAACAAAATTGCTTGACGTGAGCTCACTTGTAACCTATCATCATAATTATTCAGTTTGTATATGGTGCACACCAATATTATACAACACTTTACTGTCTGCATTGCTTTTCGTATTCATGCAAGCGATTCAAAATATTCATCTTTGAAGCCTCACGATCCTCTTGCTCTGCTAATAACTTTACAACCTATATTTTATTTTTGTTAACCAAGTTTGTTTTATGTATTATTTGTTGTAATGGCCAACCTCAATGTCTTGTTGTAGACAACGGATGCTGGACTTGATCAAGTCCGCGACTTCTTTTTGAACGGTCATGGAGTCTACATGGTGAAGACGTTCTACTTGTCGTTGGCACTCGGCAGCCAACTTACTGAGCGATCGAAATTTAGTGTCAATGGTGCTCATGATGAAGAATGAAGAAAATAACCCAAGGCATCAGCAGAAATTGGGAATTGCTTTTTTTTTTCAACCACCGCGCCTCATGCAAAAGAAATTAAACCCAATCACCTTTTGTATGTGTGTGTGCGTGTGTGTGTTTGTAGGGATGGATTTATTGTTTCCGTGTGGTGTGTGGTGTGTGTGGTGATGTGGTGTGTTTTTGTGTGGTGTATAGAGACAGTTTACACAAGCAGTGAGCACAGTGACCACACGTACCACACATTGTGTGCTGACCACAGACACACATTCCGCATTGTCATCCAGTAACACACCCCTCCCCTTAGAATTGGGTTTAAAATTGTGGCTTAGAAATGAGGTAAGGAAAAAAAAATTTGTTTTTTTCTATTGCATTGGGTGGTAGGGCCGTGGAAATTTAATCAAGTTTTTTTTTTCTCCTTCCCTACATTTTTTTTTATTTAAAAAACCTCACTTCACCCCCCATTCTCCAAAAATGAGTGATAAACTTACCCGTATTGCTATTGTTAGTGCTGATAAGTGTAAACCCAAGAAGTGTAGACAAGAATGGTAAAGCCTAAAAGATGTCCTGTACCTGTTTGTTTCATCTAACCCAACCCTTTTCTCTTTGTTTGATAGTAAGCGTTCTTGTCCTGTGAACCGCATGGGTAAGTTGACAAGAGATGACAACAAAAAGAGAAAAGCAACTAATAATAGTATAAATAAATAGGTAAGCTCTGTATCGAAGTCGAACCTACCTCCAAGATTGCATTCATCTCTGAAGAGTTATGTATTGGTTGTGGTATTTGTGTAAAGAAGTGTCCCTTTGCTGCCATCCACGTCATTAATTTGCCCACCAACCTCGATGGTCAAGTCACACATCGTTATTCTGCCAATTCCTTCAAACTTCATCGTTTGCCTGTACCTCGTCCTGGTCAAGTTTTGGGTTTAGTCGGTACCAACGGTATTGGTAAATCCACTGCACTCAAGATCCTCTCTGGTAAGATGAAGCCCAATTTGGGCAAGTTTGATGCTCCTCCCGACTGGCAAGATATTTTAAAGTATTTCCGTGGTTCCGAATTACAAAATTACTTCACAAAGATTTTAGAAGATAACTTGAAGGCCATCATTAAGCCTCAGTATGTCGATCATATTCCCAAGGTCGTTAGTGGCAAAGTTGCTCAATTATTGCAAGATAAGCATGAACGTAACAATTACGAGGAAATGATTGATATGTTGGATCTCAAGGATGTTCTTAACCGTGAGGTTGGTCAACTCTCCGGTGGTGAATTACAAAGATTCGCTATTGGTGTCGTCGCCGTTCAACAAGCTGATGTTTATATGTTCGATGAACCTTCTTCTTATTTAGATGTAAAGCAACGTTTAAACGCTGCTCGTGTCATTCGTTCTCTCATCTCTTCCAGCACTTATATTATCTGTGTAGAGCACGATTTGTCTGTCTTGGATTACCTTTCCGATTATATTTGTATTCTTTATGGTAGACCTTCTGCTTATGGTGTTGTTACATTACCTTACTCTGTTCGTGAAGGTATCAATATCTTTTTGGATGGTAACATTCCTACCGAGAATTTGCGTTTCCGTGAAGAATCATTGACCTTCAAGATTGCCGAAACTGCCAACGAAGTTTCTATCTCTAAAGTCAACACCTACAAATATCCCAAGATGCAAAAGATCCTTGGTGACTTTACATTGGATGTCATGCCTGGTGAGTTCCAAGATTCAGAGATTATTGTCATGTTGGGTCAAAACGGTACTGGTAAATCTACCTTTATTCGTCTCTTGGCCGGTCTCTTGAAGCCCGATGGTGATGCTAAGATTCCTACATTGAACGTCTCTTACAAGCCTCAAAAGATTTCTCCCAAGTTCAAGGGTACTGTCCGTATGTTGTTCTTGAAGAAGATTAAGGGTGCCTTCTTAAATCCTCAATTCAACACTGATGTTATTAAGCCTTTGAACATTGAAAACATTATTGATCAAGAAGTGATGCATTTATCTGGTGGTGAATTGCAACGTGTTGCTATTGTACTTGGTTTAGGTCAACCTGCTGATATCTATCTTATTGATGAACCTTCTGCTTACCTTGATTCCGAACAACGTATTATTGCTGCCAAGGTGATTAAGCGTTTCATTATCCATTTCAAGAGAACTGCTTTCATCGTAGAGCACGATTTCATTATGGCTACTTATCTTGCTGATCGTGTCGTCGTCTATGATGGTACTCCCTCTGTTCGTGCTACCGCAAACTCTCCTCAATCCTTGTTGACCGGTATGAACAAATTTTTGGCTTCTCTCGAAATTACTTTCCGTCGTGATCCTACCAACTTCAGACCCAGAATTAACAAGTTGGATTCTCAATTGGATCAAGACCAAAAGTCTACTGGTAACTACTTTTTCTTGGAACAATAATTTTTTTTTTTAAATCATAGACTATCCCCATTTTTTTTTTTTTTTGCTTCATCTCTCATAATTTTTCTCTCTCTTTTAAATAAAACCTGTATCTCTCTCCCTTTTTAAAAAAAATCTTTTTTTCTTTCCTAAAATGTCAAACCCTGCTAGTGTCATTCGCTTTTTACATGTCATTGAAAACCTCAAAGTAAATTTCTCATTCGCCTCTGTCAACGGGCAACTCACCCCTTTTCTAATAATTAGAGAACCAAAAGAACCGGTTGGTTAGACAACGGTATCAATGGTGCCGAATCCATTTCTGACCACATGCATCGCATGGGTGTCATGGCCATGCTCGTCAACGATCCTTCCATCAATCGCGAAAAGTAAAAAAAAAAAAAAAAATCCACCTGTACCAGAAAACCATTGCAACTTGCTAATGCCTCAGATCTTAGATGCATCAAAATGGCCATCGTGCACGATCTCGCTGAAGCTGTGGTTGTAAGTGTCAATACATACTATTATTTGGTATTTTCCCTGACACGCCTCTTTTACATAGGGTGATATCACACCTCATGCCGGTGTCAGTAAGGCCGATAAATACACCATGGAAAAGGTAAAATACATGTAGAACTCATTACAAAACCCGTGTATATAAACACCCTTAGTTAGAACGCAATGGATGGATTTAGAGAATCATTAGGTAATACAGACACTGCCAATGAAATTGTCGATTTGTGGCAAGAATATGAGGATGCTTCCACACCGGAAGCTCTCTTCGTAAAGGATCTTGATAAGTTTGAAATGATTGTTCAAGCTTTGGAATATGAAAAGTGTAAGTGCCCCCCCCCCTTTACATATACGTAGAATATATCATTTTTAACCCTCACACACATATTTTGACAGCTGATAAAAAGAATTTGCAAGGTTTCTTTGATTCCACAAAAGGAAAATTCGAACACCCTACTGTCAAAGCTTGGGCAGAAGCCTTATACAAGGAAAGAGAGGAATTATGGAAGCAATAAATACAGACTTCTCTTTACCATGGACACTAATTGTCATTTATTAACCATTCATCCCTTTCTTGTCTTTTTTTATGATGTGGTGTCTTACAGGCACATATTATTATAATGTTGATGATTATACCGTTTAGACATGCAAAGAAAATGTGTATAGTATCATCAAGTTTATTGAATTCCTAATTATTTTACAAAAATTTCAATTTTTCGGATCCATGTGGCTGTATAATGAAGCAGGAACCCTCCATAGATATGATGTATCTTACGTAACCAAGCAGTTGTTATAGAGGATATTCTCTTGTAAGCATATTCATTTGTGCTCTTACTTTTCACAATCACACACACGATTGTTTCTTCAAAAATCATTGCTTTTCATATAACTGTATCAAATCATTATTCATAATGGGTTTAAAGGGTTTTTCCTGGAGATACATGAAACCATGATTTAGTTGGAATAAATAGACAATATGCATAATGAACCCGTCACTATTTCATTGTCTACATCAACAATTCGGTACATATAAAAGCTTATAAATAAATAATTATTATTTATTTTTTGCATCACTCAATTATCATCCATCAAATGAAGACCGATAGACATACCTTACTTTATCCTGCGTACCCTCCTCAATGCTAAATTCTAATAGTAGACAATCATAAAATAAATTGTCTCTTCATACTCTAAATATTATTGTATTAATTATGTTTTCTATTTTGGACTTTGGTGCTACCCATATTAGTTTGCAATGAGAGAGAACTGCCATTACGATATTGTGTAATCTTAAATTGGTAGCACTTGTATTATTAACAGATTTCTTTACATTTGATATAAGAGCGTTTTTGACAACAGCCTTCATGAAAACTATAGTTATTGATAACTGAGTTTATTGTATACAATTTAAAAGGGTTGCATTTAAGAAAAAATGAAAACCGGATTCAAAGTCATATGACAAACATAATAAGAACCTCAAGTAATACTGTACTCAATTTGCTGGGATCGGAATCAATTTTTTTTTTTTTTTTTTTTTTTTTTTTTTGAAATGATACGATCCATAAAGTTTTGTCTGCTCTTCCTATAAGTATCTATTATATCTTTTCATTTTCACTGCGTGTTATTCTATTAAATTGTGCCCACATATACCATTATTAATCAAAAGCAAATTTTAAAAAACTACAAGCAGAATGAAAATAACAGGTGCGGGTAAAGATAAACGTACATATTACACACACAAAAAGAACGAATATGTAAGACGAATTATCCTGTGTATATAGTGTAACAGGACAGTAAAAACCATAGATAATAGCTAAGTTCACTATATACTGGAATAATTAGAGATTAGTTATCATACATACTATCTATTTCAATAAAAAATGCTATTCTATTAATTTTCTTTAAAAAAAGGGTTGGCTGGTATTTACAGAAAACATCTGGATTTATTTAGTTACTTAACCTTCGGGTAAGATTCATGAAAAGTAAAGCTATTAACATATATACAAATAAAGAGGATGTGTTCAAAACATTGGCAGCAGAAGTAGGCATGCTAAAAGTCGGAGAAGGGATCGCATATTTAATAGCATTGACTGCACTATATTTGAATTCTCCAAGATCGTTGTCGATAAAATTTCCTGATTCACACCCATTAGCAACAACTCTTAAACTCTTCGTACCCCATTCAGATGCATTTCCAATGTAGGCCTGGGGCATTTCAGTCATATCCAAAACTAACTGAGAGCAGGCCATTTTCATATTACAAAAATCTCTTACGACACACCCAAGATGATATTCTTTTTGGCCACTGCTTGATATATATTCATCATACACACAAGTCGCAGCAGAAAAATTTCCAAGTTGTTGATTCAAAGGGTTTGGGGGGCAATATGTAACAGGACACAGGTAATCTGCACCGTCGTTCCAGCCTTCCGGCTTATAACATGACATCGTTGCTCTATTAACCATAGTAAAAGTTAAAAAAAAAAAAAAAAAAAAAATTTGTAAATAAAGATTATAATTTGAAAACATTGTATACAATGTGTGTATATATAAGTGTTTGCTTAGGTTTCACATACATTTAATTAGATGATACAGAAGTTTGTGTTCGGGCACAAAAGTTACAATTCTAAGATAAAGATGTGGTTGAGAAGGTCACAGTAATTTTTTTTTTTTTTACCCTAAATTAAGATATCTGGAAGACGAAACAATTGAGTACCGAATTCATAATCTGCTGAGCTAAAAGCTAAGCACCACTGAATAATCAAACGATTATTTTTTCATAGCTTATACAACCAAGCATTATGTGGCCTTTGAACTATTTTAATATTTTTTATACAAACTGCATGCATAGAAATCAGTGAAAACAGCTCGCATCATACAACTGTTTATTGATTTTGAGCCACATAAAAATAGGATTAAAGCCCCCTTCTCCATCAACGGATTTGGGTTACAATTTTGGAGGTATCACCTTTTTGTCTCATTTGTTGTTACATCAGTGCATGGAAGATTGTTCAAAAGCTGGTTATACTTTAAATTCAATACGGTAACGTTGTTCCGTGAACTCCCAAAAGAACCCTTTTTATCGTCGTAAGCTTCAGGAAGACCAATAATGTGGGACAAGATAAATCTGCTGTCATAACATGTAATGAATGATCTGACTTCTAAGATTTAACTAGCCACTGCTATTTTTAAAGCTTCTCCAAGACGCCACATATTTTATTTTGCCGTATAAAGCTTAAACTACGTATCTGGTGAGACCTTACCCGACAAAAATATCATGCTTATTACCTTTTTAAACATGGGATTTAATAGAATGAACAATACTATTGTGTACCTGACTATTTGTCTATCCAATTAATAAAGAATAATTGCTATAACGGGTAGTAACACCGTTGTGACATAGTACATTCTTATGACTGTTCACCAATAAAAGCTGTGGCTTCAGATACATAACGATTCTGGTTTGTTCAGAACTAATGTAGTACCAGTTACTCATTAAATTTACAATTTAATACCCACCTCATAGTGGCGTTTTCTCACGCGTTATTCGATTTGTTGTTGCAGAGGAATTATGTCCTGTTCCACAATCAGCTGCATTATCCTAAGAAAAACCATTTACAATCATATTAATGAGCACAGATAAGTAAAAGGCTATCTTAAGTTTTTATTTAAAAGATGGCCATAGTTATCATAACTGGGTAATTTAAAAATAACCAATATGATAGCCCAGTCGTCACTATGTTGCCCAAAGTTATTATACAGCGTTCAAATCATGTATTTTTGACAAAAAAATAAAGGCAAGGCGGAAAATAAAAATAACAGGATTACAAAAGTCCCTTTTGATGCAGACAATCTGACATTTACTTTCGCTACTGCTTGATATATATTCATCAAACAAGTAAGTTGCAGCCCAGAAAAGTTTTCAAATTGTGGATTCGAAGGGTTTGGGGGCAATGAGTAACAGGACAGTTGTATTATGAACCATCATCTGCGCTTTTAGGCTTATAACATGTCATCAGTGGTGTATTAGACGTAGTAGTAAAAGCTGGAAATATTCGTTTTTGTAAAAGATTATAATTGAAAAAGATTATATTTATGCATATAGCTGGTTCTCTAGGTGTCACATAGATCCATTTAGATGATACAAAAAGTTGTGTTCAGGTAAAAAAAATTACAATTCCAAGATAAGGCACAAAGGCTAGCTACAATCCTAAGATAAAAATGTGGTTGCGGCTGTTTACTGTTAATTTTATATCCTTTTAAAATATTTAAAAAAAAAAAAAAAAAAAAAAAAAAAAAAAAAAACTGAATGCAGTTGCCACAATCTGCTGAGCTAAAAGCTAAGCACCTCAAAATAATCAATAGCGGTTATTTCTTCATTCCACATTCGTATAGTATAATTGAAGAGGGAAAAATTGAGTACATGAATACAAAAAGTATCATATTTTAAAATTCAGAACTTCCCCCTAGTTAATTAGATTTATCTTACACCTCTACAAAAGAAAATGGTAGACCCTCGTTTTTCTCCGTTTTTTAAACGCTTGAAATGTATATAGATTTATTCAATGGCCGAACTTTTGAGAAAGATTCATAAAAAGTAAAGCTACTAGCATATATATTAATAAAGAAGACGTGTCCAAGCTATTGGCAGCAGAAGGATAATAGTCGGAAGCAGGTACAGGCTCCGCGTAACCAAAAGGGGCGATTGTATTATAAAGAAAAGTACCATAGTCCACTGCAGAATAATTTCCAGCATCGCACCCACTAGAAACAACTCTTTTGATTCTTTTGCCCCAATCCGTAGCATTACCAATGTCGGCGTTGGGTAATCCATTCTCATTAAAAGCTATCTGAGAGCAGTTCATTTGCATGTTACAATAATCTCTTTCTATGCAGCCAAAATGATATTCTGTTTGCCCATTACTCGCTAAATACTCATCATACACACAAGTTGATGCAGAAAAGTTTCCGAATTGTTGGTTTGAAGAGTTTGGGGGACAATAAGTTATAGGACAAGAGTACTTTGAGACTTCAGTCGAGCCAGGGGGTTTCAGACATTGCATTGATTTATTTGTAGCCATACTAAAAATTGTAAATGATCTGTTTTTGTATATGATAATTAAATTTGAAAAATCTATAAATTATATATATATATATATATAGTTATATCTTTAGGTGCCACAGAAACTCAATTAGATAATGCAGAAACTTGTGTTCAGGCACAAAGACACAAGTTTATATTATGGATGCGGTCGGTGTGAGACATTGGTAGTTTTAGAAGACAGGGATCTAGAAAAAAAAATTGAATACAGAAGCCGATCTGCTGAGCTAAAAGCTAAGCGCCATTAAATAATCAAACGATTATTTCTTAAAGCTTATAAAACTAAGCATTATGTGGTATTTAAACTATTTTAATGTATGTTCTATATATTCCATGCATAGCAAGTATTGAAATTAATTCGCATCATATAACTGTCTATAGATTTTGAGCCACAACAAAATAGGCATTAAAGCCCTACTCTCTATCATCGGATTTGAGTTACAATTTTTAAAGAATTCACACTGGTGCAAGGGGGAGTATCCAACAACTTGTTAAACATTGGGTACAATGTGGTAACCTTATTCATATAAGTTTTCAAATCCTTTTTACCGCCATATCTTTTGGGAACGACTGCAAATAATGTGGAACAGGACAATTTTGCTGTGCCAACATGTAACGAATGACGGACTAAACATTAATTAGTCTCTGTCATAATGAAAGGTTATTCAAGACGCCACACACTTCTTAAGCATAAACTATGTACCAAGTGGACCCTTACCAATTAAAAGTACCGTGATTGCCACCTTTCCAAACCATGTGATTTAAAACAAGGGATGATGTTACTATGTGCCTGATCATTAGTCCAATCAATAAAAAACTTGCTATAACGGGGGGTAATACCGCTGTGACATAATATAGTGAAACCCATTTTTCTTTTTGATAAAAATGGAGATTTGCCAATAAAACCGCGGCTTCAGATTCCTCCGCGCCTTCAACCCTTTCCGGTTTATCCGCAGGATAAGCAAAGTGCCAATTACTTACCAGAATTACTAATCTAGTGACTCGCGATTATTCACAAATTTATTGAATTTTTTTTTTTCTGGAAAGAAATTGTGTTCTGTTGCACGATTAAGTGCATTACCTTGATAAAAAAAAAGGTACAAATAAGCTGGTGAGCACGAATTAATTGAAAAGTTGTATTACTGTTTGTTTAAAAAATATAGCAGCACAGTTTTTTTATAGTGGTCATAATCAGTAAGATTCATGAATTTAAAAATTGTCCAAAGTTACCATAGCGCGATCAAATAATGTCCTCTTAAGCTGAAAAATAGCATGATACTTGATTTGATTATTCTTTAAGACTAAAGAAACGTCAAAATTTGTTTCATTACTATCGAAATTCGTGTGACACAGAATCTCGAAATATTTATGTAGCAAACCGTTTAGGCGTATCCTCTTATTAAAAACGATACACTTGTGAATATCTTCGTATATTCTGCATGCTTTTTTGTAATCAAGTATAAACTAGAAGATCCAAGGTTTTAATTTATAGAACAACACAAAAGATTAGTCGCTCAGTTTAGATATCAAAAAGCATAGGCCTATCAGAGGATCACTGTAATACATCGAATAATGAACTGTTTATCTAAGTTTGAAGAATACAGCATTCTGCTTGGTGTTTGTAGTTTTTTTTTTTTTTTTTTTTTTTTTTTTTTTTTTTTTTGTAAGGAAAGCAAGTAGATTAAATACAAACTACTATTATATGGTAGAAGCCCGCCAAGAAATAGTCTGGGTCTTTATTCCAGATTTTTTTTTGTGCGCGTGTGCTTTAAAATTTATAGTTGCCAGTGACCCCAGTGATTTTAAATAGTAACCTACGGCATTGTTGCAACGGCCGTTGTTACACGACCCAAGTTTCTGCAAACAAAACGAATTATAAATTTACGTACTAGCAAGTGCGGTCTTTGTGTTTTATAAAATCAATTGTAGTATGACCTATTGTTTGGCTGAAATATGAATGTTGTTAACATAAATATATAAATACCAGCAAACAGTTGAATTTCTTTTTTGCAATACCATCGAAACATCAAAATCAAATGGTAGTCCTAACAGTAATAACCCCATGCGTTACGCTTCAAATCGACCTGGCCAAAAATAAAGCAATCAAAGATTAAACAAATAAAAAAAAAAGCGTTTCAAATCTTTGTGTCACTATATTCCACTAGCTACAATTGCATTCTTACCGTCTTGTTTTATTTGCAATTTTGGGATTCTAAATAAGCAAGCATAGGATAGCTATTTTTTTTAGACTAGTCTTTCTCATGGTTTTCAAATGGATTAAATTCTGTCCCCCGTTGTAACCTCGCCTATGGACCATTCAAAAGAGCTTCTATCGAAGGTGAGAGGCGATATAATATTGATTGACGGTGGTAGGTTAAAATGACTTAGTTGTATAGGATGACATTATATCTTTTCAAATTATTTATGGACAATACACATTGTAGCTTGTTTAGTACAAGTACGCCACATTTCAAATCCTCATTGTTGGCTCATTCAAAATTCAAATTAATCTATCGTATGATTATGAATATAGACTACAATTAAAGTTTGAATGGGTTTTTCCTTAATTTATGGATAAAACCTTCCCACACCAATCACGCATTAAATACCTTCCAAAAAAATAAAGTTCATTAATAAGTATTCACTTTTAGTTTATTAATCAATTAATAGATACAAGTTTAGTGACCATGTCCATCATCTTGAGCAGGTGGTGGTGGAGCGACTACATAATAGAATGAAGTTAATAAAACAAAGGCATAGTTTCTTTTTTTTTTTTTTTGCTAGATTAAATACCCTTGATCATGTCATCAATTCTCAAAATTGAGATGGCGGCCTCTGTCGCACTTTTAAGAGACTTAATTTTGGACATTGTAGGTTCCAAGACACCAGCGTTTAAATTATCACGGACAGTTCCATTCATTAGTTCCAATCCGTAATATTTTAAAGCGCGCATACGATCATTGGCGCCATCCTTTAAAGCAGCATTATGATAAGCACGAAGTTTAGCTACTAGCTCAGTTGAATCCTTTGCAGCATTGACAGCTAAAGTCTTGGGAATCACTAAAAGAGCATTTGCATATTCGGCAATTGCCAATTGCTCACGGGATGCTACACTGGTGGCGAAATTTTCCAGATAGATACTAAGTGCTGATTCAACAGATCCACCTCCAGGCACAACACTGTTACTTTCCAAAGTACGTTTTACGACACAAAGAGCATCATGTAAAGATCTTTCCATTTCATCCAGCATATAATCATTGGCACCACGTAAAATGATGGATGCTGAGTTTTGTATCTTTGTTCCTTTCACTAAAAGACATTCATCGTCTGAGATACGTTCCTGAACAACTTCATCGGCTTGACCAAGTGATCCAGATTCAAATGTCTCTTCTCCTTCCAAATTGGCTAAAGAGGAAATAAGTGTAGCGCCAGTAGCTTTGGCGATACGTTTCAAATCATCCTTCTTACAACGACGAACGGCTATAGCACCAGCTTCAATAAAAAGCTTGAGACATAAATCATCAATTCCCTTCGTCGTCAGAATGACGTTGGCTCCTGTCGCTAAAATTTTTTGAATACGCTCGGTTGTAATTTCAATTTCCCGCTTTCTGATATCCTCCAATTTATCTGGATCATCCACCACAATATTGACACCAAGATGCATACGTGCCTTTTGTAAATTCATATCCAAACAAGCAATTTTGGCGTTCTTGACACATTTCTTCATTGCTTGAGAAGCGACGGTACAGTTTAAGGCATACCCACGTACAAAGGTTGAATCAAGACCGGATTTACCGTGTGCTTTTAAAATATTTACCGCTTTAACAGGGTATTTAGCTTGGCCCCGATGATTTGTTGATTTAACAGCTAACATAGACTCCACTGCAAGATTAGCAAAGAACTCGGAATCACTACATCAAAAAAAAGGGGGGGATGGGTTGAGCTAAGGGGTTCAAGCACATGGATGAAGTATAATATTTACCTTCCGATAATTTTACTACTCATGGAAGTCTTTGCTGCGTTAACCAAACATTCTTTACCCAACGAGTCAACACTGACGGCCATTTGATCCACAATAAATTTACATGCCACTTTGGAAGCTAAACGATATCCAGTAATGATTGTGGTAGGATGGATCTTGTTTTTGACAAGTTCGTTGGCTCGTTTTAATAATTCAGCTGCAATAATTACTACTGATGTTGTTCCGTCACCAACTTCTCGGTCTTGTTGGTGAGCAAGTTCTACAAGCACCTTTCCAGCAGGATGTTCAACTTCGAGTAATTGCAAAATAGTAGCTCCATCATTGCTAATGGTGACATCCTTGTTTATTGGGTTAATGCTTTCGTTTTGCTTTTTTTTATTTTTTTTTATTTTTTATGTATATATAGTTACCCCAATTTCATCCACTAGCATTTTATCGAGACCGACAGGGCCTAACGAGCTTTTAACGATATTGGCAATAGAAGCAGCAGCAAGCACTAGAGTATTCCCATTTTTAGTATCGAAAGGCCTCATCATCTTTCTTTTGTGTCTTTACCATTGCTCGAGCGGACATCTTGACCGGTTGTTCTCTCACCACCCAAGAATAAGTTTGAACTTTGTGGGTCTGTTTGGTACATTGTGTAATAAAATAAAAGTGAAAAGAGTGGGTATGAACCAGAAAAACAAACTAAAATAAGTGACTTTTTTTTTTCTTTTTTCTTTTTTTTGACAGCAAACTCCGTGTTTGTGCATGATTGGAAATTTTACACAGAGCCACCTCTCTCCATGCCAGTGACTCTACATGCAAGATTTTCATAAGCACGTCTTAAATTGATTCAATGACAGGTAAAATGATGAATTTGAATGTTTGCAGGAACGATGGAATTAAAGTTAAATGGAGCTTAAAATATACTTTGTCAACTTTGTGTAAACTTGATCACGACGTTATACGAAAAGAACCCGTAACAAATATTAAAGTGCTGGGGCAAAAAAAGAAGATGTTAGTGATGTATGAACTTGATACCGCACTGGAAAAAACTAAATGCGTAATCATGTAGGACCCATACTATTCAGGTAAACATATTTTGCACGGGATGTCCCATTATATCGTGTTTGAGTAGGAAATAAGTCGATTTACTTTAAAGAAAATAAGATTCAGTCGGTCATGTCGGATAAAAAAAAAAAAAAAAACGCCAATGTTAAGAGTGAAAAGCGTATTTTAAAAGGACCAATTTGATTGCGCGCGTGTTTGAAAAGTTGCTGCATTTCTTTAAAAGATTACGTTATCAAACTCACGTTTTTCCACTTTGGTTACACGTATCTTAATCACAAGAAAAAAAATAAACGTTTTGTATTTAACTAGATATTTAAATTCTGCGCTGAAAATAACTCACAAAAAAAAAGTATGTGGTATTATGAGAAGAAAACCTTATTTTTCTGTTTTATGCTAAGCAGACTTGTTTTTTTCCCAGACCAGAAAAATAGGATTATTTACAAATCAAAACAATAGATCACATGAGCAATTGAAATGTCCTAAATTTATGCAATAGGTTTTGTATTTGAATCAGACTCATATTTTGGAACAATAAATATGACGTACTTACGCAGACAAACAAGGTCTACATGCAGTGTTCATTCGCACACACTTGACAGATATATTACCGCTGTGCTGTACATTTTTATCTTGTAAAAATAACTAAATGATGCTATATATCAGGCGCGATAACAATTTTTTTTTTTTTTACTGTCAATTGCTGATAACACTGTCAGGAGATGCACCAATAACAGGTTCGAATTGAGTAAGGTAACAATGGGTCATAATTATTCTTGCTAATGAAATTCTTTGTTTATACGTTGACAAACATATGAGCAACCTCGTAAAAAGTTCCCAAGTTGGTCAAGAGCGAGTTACGGTTTAAAAAGATGATACATTTGCTGTTTGAAGAAGGAACACCATGGAAATACACACGGTATTTTATTTGTAGTACCCGACTTTTGGACAGCAAGAAGAGTGAGTCATTTTCTGTATTTTGCATGGTTGTACAAAGTGAAATTGGTTGGAAAATGATGATGTATTGGTGATACAGAAATATTTAAAATCAATCAAAATTATTACAAAGTAAAATAATATAATATAGAGTAGTAAAGGAATGTTGTTTATTTGTGTTATGACATCAGTACTTGACATTTTAAAGGTATATTGGGGAAGGGGGGGAAAAAGGTTGTAGGAATTATATATATATTATTTTTTTTTTTTTTTCATGGGATTTATTGTGATAGTAATTGTCCAGCAAATTCATTATCATCGTCATTATCAGCTATTAAAAAGTCATCGTCTATTGAGGCAAATGACCATTGAGAAGGGTGAACACCATCACGAGGACATGAATCCTATAATTTATCAAGATATTAATACAAAGTATACAACTGCCTCAGGTACTTATAAATAAAAACTACCTTGTGTTCTGGAAGCCAGTTTCCACATAATTCACAGGTTGCAGGACAAACAATCAAAGGAAGCATTCAAGAAAAGAAGAAAATAAATTTATAAAGAAGAAAAAGAAGAATCAAAATAAAATATATAAAAAAAAAAACGCCCTTTTTATATTCAACATATCTATTTTTTC